GTGAATAATGTTTAACCCTGGTCACTGCGACAGTGGAAGGATATTTGATTGTATAACCTACGATGTAACCATAGAATAAATTATTTCTGTTTGAGGCATAAGGGGAAGAAAGGACAGAGTCTCTCCAGTAACATTCAACCTAAAGGTTATTCACTTTCCCCTGAACTCCATGCTTGTCTGTAAAACAGCGTGAACTTCAGCAAGAAGAAAGGAACATTCTCAGGAAACTTGACCAGGTGTATCTGCACAGTGTACATTTTGAGGATTGCTGTTCTTCCAACATTTGCATGCATCTGTAATAGGAAAAAACCACTAGACTTTTGTTTAAAAAAATACAGCTGGTGTAAACTGTGTGATGCTAAGTCAGCAACTGTAGAAGACTGAGCATTCCCTGCAGTCATCGGCCATGACACAAAGGCGTCATGCCCTATGCCAGCCACATCTGGCTTCTTTCAGAGCCTGTCACAGAGCCCTGGCACATGCTGTTTCTTCCAACAGCATAAAAAAAATCCTACTGTAGCTCAGCTGGTACTGACATGTCTCTAGCAAGAAAGATAATAGAAAGGAAGAGAGAAAAATAGAAGAGATCATTCAATTTCATGCCTCGAAAATACTTTACCTAGCAGACCGTATGTTTTTGATGCAGATCATATATTTAAAGCCAACTGGAGTCTTCCTTTGAAAAGCAAGACCTGTGGAAATTAAGACACTCGTGTACTTTAAATAACTAATATCAAAAATAAGCAGAGCCCTAAAGTAAGTATTTGCTTACTGTACTTTCCCATTGTAGCAGTTACTGTTTGGTCTTAGCCAGAGATAGACTTCAAATGTGGGAAGTTAATGAAGTGTGTTCCACTGAGAATTATCGGGAGAACAGTCATCACAGGCCCAGTGAGTAATTTTTGTCCCTCATTTATGATAAAGAATGGAATCGGCTTATCTCAAAGTTCGTTTGGCCTGCTGGTACTAAGTACCCCCCACTCCCAGCCACCATAAACTCTGGGCTGAAGTTCAAGGCCTTTCACACTTCCATTGCTTATCTAAGAGTCCTACAAGTTGGGAGAGAGATGGGGTCAATATTGTGTGGAGAGAGGTAACCCCCATGCTGCTGCTGAGACCTGGTACCTGCAAACAGCCGAACCATCCTGAGGGTTGGCCAGACAAGCGTTTTCCCCACATCAGCATGTCTTGCTTTACAAGGCACTTAGAACTTGCATTTCTATCCCCTCACTTTTCTTCGTATGTCTGGACTACAGAATGAGTCCTCCTGCCTGCAGTCCCTCCCAGTCACTGCCTCAAGACAAACTTCCCAACAAGAGTCTCTTAAAAAAAGAAAAAATCCTTCAAGAAACAAAAGTCCAGACTTCTGGCTCCAGCACTGACACTGAGCACGACCCAGCCCCACCTCATCACCCCCCTGCTCCTCGGCAGACACCAGCTGGGCCGTGCGTGGTCACCGCACCCAGCCTGCCCTTTGCTCATGCCACGTGCTCTACCTGGAATACCTTCCCCACTGCTGACTACTTATTCATGGTAGGTGCTAAGTAGACATTTTTTCCAAGTGGACGGATTCAAGACCTACCCATTTTCAAGGCTCAATCCAAATTTTAGGTTATGTGCAAATCCTCCCATGACCAAAGTCTGAAGGTATCACTCCATCTTCTGCACTCCAAGTGTCATTTATATATCCGGCAAGTTATATATAGTACCAACTGTGGGGCAGATAACAGGGCTCAACCCCAAGTAGGCATTGTTCTGCCCTCAAAGAGCCCAGAATCTAGTGGGGAGAGTCACAAAACATAACTACCAAACGATGGTATGGGTGCTAGAATATTTACATGAGAATGTTTTCTTACTGTTTTAGACATTTATTGAGCTACTATTAGGCTTTAGGAGCCAGCCTAGGGACTCATGATGAGTTCTGATTTCATCCTAATGAACAATTTTACAAAGAAAAAAAAAAAAAAGACTCTGAAAAGCTGATTTCCCATGGCGATTTGGATAAGCAGAGCCTGGATTCAAACCCAGTTGGGTCTGGGCTCCTTCCATCTACCCCGCCTCCCAACCCTGTGGGGTCTAATGTGCTATAAGAACACAGACTGGGAGGAGGAAGACATCCCAGGCAGAAGGAACAGCATAAGGTATGTGCAATGAAACAGTGAATGGGTCAGAGAGACCAGAGCTTGTGTATATGTTGAAGGAAAGAAGTAGGTCAGGTTAGACTGAAGTACCTTGGACTCAGTCCTGTAGGTTATGGAGAAGCTCCAGTGTTTATGTCATGTGTCTCCAACAAGATAAACTCCCTTAAGAGAAGGCACCACAGCCCTTCTGTGTTCTCATACTATCAAGTATGTACTCAATACAACTGGGTGAAGCCCATGAGCCTTTCTGAGTCTTTGTTTTTGTGTTCCAATTGGGACCCCATGGTTCTGCCCAGCTTCATGAATGCACAGTATTTGTGCCTCTAACCAGACTTGGAGGCTCAGAAGCCAATGGCTGTCTCAGACCAAGAGCAAACTTTCCATAGCTGCCACCAAGTATGCTAGGGGCCATCTTTGCTACTTATCAAAACTTCTTGCCACTGCCTGGGTTCCTTCATTTCCTGGGGTCATGCACATTGCAAAGCTGTCTGAAAATCATAATTGTAACACTAAAGACGTGCTAGGCACTATGTGCATTCTCTCATTTAACCCTCATAACTTTAGGAACTAGGTGCTGTTGTGCTCATTTGACTGATGAGGGAGTAGAGGCTCAGAGAACGCGAGTAAGTCTGGTCTGGAATGCAGGTCTCAATCCCAATGCCCATGCTCTTAGCCACTTAGACATAAAATCCACCAGGCAAAGAGATTAAGGAAATCTGGGCAGCCCCTCATGAAGCATCAAAGACAGGAGCTGCTGAGATCTTGAAGACATGTCTAGCTCCAGCTTGCTACTCTCAGATTCTTATGCAACAAACCAGAGAATCATTTAACCAGGATGTGACCAGAAAAATGCATTCCCACATGATCAGACTCTAGACTTCAGATACCCTGAATATAAGAGTTCTTCAGCCACCTCTCCTGAGAAGCCCCTTTACCGAAACCACCTGTATCTATTCTTCCAGCTCATTCTCTGCCACACCAGTTTCCATTTAGGCAAATATCTAAGCATCTATTCTGTGCCAGGTACTGTTCTAAGAGTTGGGAATATTGCAGGTAACACAAGGAACAAGATCCCTGCACACTTGAAGCTTAACATCTGACAAAGGTGATAAGTAAAAAGTAAATGAGATGATTTCTGATGATAAAGGCTATGAGTGTTACAGATCGTGGTGGGATGGAGGTAGGAGGCTGATTTAGAAAGTCCTTGCCAGGGAGGTAGCGTTCGAATTCATACCCAGCTGACAAGTGCCAGCCTTCAAGGTCCAGGATCTACCTTATACTTGGTGGGCTAAAAAGGACATTAGTAATTTAGTCTCTTCATCTGTAGGTGAGCAAACAGGGATTCAATGAGACTAAAAGATTGGGACAAGGCCTCCTGACTGACTGCAAGGATGTTTCTTACTACCATTCTACAGAGCCTTTGGATATGCACATTTGACATTGTGCTTTTAATTTCCTCAAACGTATTAATAATGTTATTTTCAGTACACCCATGGGGACAAGAGAGGCCTGCACTTGATAGATGATGACTTTGAGACTCTAGTTGGCTAGGTAACTTGTCTAGTGGCCTGTCACTAACAACTCAATCAAAACCCTACTTATTTGTATTCTGGTCCTGTGTTCTCTCCCCTAGATGAGGCATAGCTGTCTAGTAAGTGGTCTGTGAACATGAGACATCATTACTAACAACTTCATGTTCTATGGTACAGAGAACATACAAAAGTTAAAGAGCAATTTACTTAGTCATAACACACAAACTCAAATTCCTGAGTTATTGGTTGCAGGAAAGAACATGTGATGGATGCCAGGTGACCCAACAATCATGGCCTGAGACAGTCTGCACCCCCTGACTTCTGGATACAAGACTGAGAGCTTCAGCACATTTCATTTTAGGAGTTTTAGTAATTAAGGAGAAACGTGTTCCTCTTGCAGAACATAAGAATCTTCATAGCCAGACCCAACCCAGAGCAGGAGTCTTCACAGTCGGTGAATTCTTAAGTCATATTTAAATCCCTTGACTCTTTGCTTAGGTAATAAGCTACTAGTGCTTCCTCCCAAATCTGCCCGCACCACAGAATCATCTAGAAGAGCTTTAAAATAAAGATTTTTCCACCCACAACTAATGGAAGGGGAGCGCACTGTATGGGGGAAGGGCATGCTTGTAGCCCTGGCTTAGGTGAGGCAAATGCATTACATGTAACCAAAATGTTTGTACTCCATAATATCCCGAATTAAAATAATAAAAGATTTTTCAGATTCACACAAGACCCAGAGACTTAGAAACTCCACAGGCTAGAGCCTAGGTGATCTACATTTTAAAATTCAGCCAGCCTAGAAATTCACTGTTTTGCTCGTTTCTTAGTGCTATAATGTGATAGAAAGGAGAGATGCTTGTTTTTATTACCCAGTGGGAAAGGTAAGTTAGGTTGTACCCTTTAAGCGCTGCTTCCAGGAGAAATTCTCCTCCAATACCCAAGGCCCTCACATAGCAGGAAGGTCCTGGGAGTGTCTCCCTGGTAACCTGTGAAAGTCTGTTGTCTCACTCCCCTTTGGCGGCACATCAGACTCCCATACAACCCTGGGAAAGCCTTTTCTGAGATCAGTTTACCAATTCCTTTGTGAAGCAGACCCTCCCCTGCAAAGGTCGGAGGTGTCTCCAGCAGAAAAGATCTCAGAGTGTGGACGACCCCTCATCCACCCCCACATCCTATCTCCCGAACACCAAAGAGGCCTGGCTCCTTCCCCACGGGCCTCTCTTCTGCCCTGGACATCCAGCTACTTGCTTGGAAAAGGGAAAGAAAGAAGGTCGTGCAGGCCCTGTGGCCAGTGCCCTCGAGGGGGACACAGAGTGGTTCTTACCTATCTTGGGAAGGAAGCGGAGCTGCTCTGTTCACGCGGGGATTTTGTCTCTGCTGGCAGGCACTGGTCTTGGAACTCACTGGACTTTGAACAAGGATTGATTTAAAAGCTGATGTATTTAACAGGGACGTGAGTTCCAGTGACCTCTGTCCCGCTTCCTGCCAGTGGCTGGGCCCCAAGCTGGAAAACCTCACAAACCCTCCACAAACCCAACGCTGCTCCGGCCCACCTCTCCGACCGCCGGGACAGCTCACCACTTCTTGCCTGCCGTTCCCAGAGAGAGGAGGGGAAGGACACCCGGGGAGGAGGTGCCACTACTTCCTGGGTTCTCTCCCTTAGGCAGATGCCTTGGTCACACCCAGCCAACCCCCAATCCCACCAGGAGCCTCTGCTATCCCCCATCCCAGGGTCGGCCCGAGAACCATAACACACCAAGGCCTTCCTGGGTAACAGCAACCTGTGCAACCCCCACCCAGCAGCTGGCCAGTGGGCCCATAGCCCCACTACACGGGGCAAAGCCTCCCTGCCCTCCCTCTGCCCTGGGAGTTCTTACCTGCACACTCTCCAGGAGCCCAGCCAACAAAGCCCGCGCTGTTACTTCCCAGGCTTCCTTCTTATAGCTCTCTCCCCTCCCTAGTTTTCTCTTTTTCTTTCTCACCTGAGGGTGCTGTTTCTATTCTCCAGCCTAATGATATTAATTGTCTTCCCCTTCACATACTCAGAGCCCCTCAGGCGAGCCCAGCAGAATAGGGAAAGGCATTTTCACAAGCTCCTCCACCCCGCTGCCTGGTGCCACCTGCTCAGCCCCAGCCCCAGCTGCAGCCAGCAGCTGGCCCCTGTTAGCAGCATCCACACAGACAGCTCCGGCACCAGGCTTCTCACCTTCCCGGATCCTCAGCCCACACTGCAAATCAGGGCAAGAGATTGCTCCAGGCAGTGAGGCAAAGCGAACCCACCCCCCTCCTTCACCCACACTGGAAGAGCCACTTGTCTTAGCTGGGCCTTGGCTTTGCCCCCAGCGGAGGCCTGGGCCAGTGGTTGTGTGGTTTAAAGTGACGAACATCTGAGCAGCTTCCTCATGCCAGGTCTTCTCTGCCTTGAGGCTATGCCCTCTTGGCCCCGTCTTCCAGAGCAGAAAGATAGAGTGGGAAAATCTGGATTTAAAATCAGAACACCTGAGTTCCAACTGGGACGTTGCCACTTCCCAGGTGTTTGATCTAGAACAATTCATTTCTAACTCTGAGTCTCACTTACCTTCATCATCTATAAATAGTTGTTACATTGTTTTTAGAAATTTTTTATATCAAGTCAAAATAGCCCTCTCCTCTACCTCTCTGGAGCTACACGGATTAAATTCATTCTTTACTCCACATGGAGCTTTTCAAATATTTGAAGGCTGATGTATCCTCATAAACCTTCTTTTCTCTGGGATTCAATAAATGTCCCTCATTCCATAAAGGGTCTGCCTGTGCGATGACTTCAAGAGGTCTCACTCTGGGCCTCAACTGACTTGTAAATTTCCCTCTTAAAAATCAGTGCCTAGGCCGGGCGCGGTGGCTCACGCCTGTAATCCTAGCTCTCTGGGAGGCCGAGGCGGGCGGATTGTTTGAGCTCAGGAGTTCGAAACCAGCCTGAGCAAGAGCGAGACCCCGTCTCTACTAAAAATAGAAAGAAATTAATTGGACAACTAAAAATATATAGAAAAAATTAGCTGGGCATGGTGGCGCATGCCTGTAGTCCCAGCTGCTCGGGAGGCTGAGGCAGGAGGATCGCTTGAGCCTAGGAGTTTGAGGTTGCTGTGAGCTAGGCTGACGCCACGGCACTCTAGCCCGGGCAACACAGTGAGACTCTGTCTCAAAAAAAAAAAAAAAAAAAAAAAAAATCAGCGCCTAAAGAGGAAATTTTTTAATGTGAGAGAACTGTTCTATATCTTCAGTAGGGCAGTGGCTACACAATTGTCTATAATTACCAAAATTCATCAAACTATACACCTAAGATAGATGAATTATACTGCAAGTAAATAATTCTTTGGTTTTTAAAGAAAGGAGTCTAATTCAGTAAAATTTATTCTTGAAATAAATAAATAAATAAGTTGGATGAGGAAAAAAAAAAAAAGCCTTACAGTAAAGCTATTTCAAGAGGCTTGAAGCCAATCAAGAGGCTTCTCAGACCCATCCTTTCATTACCAGCACAGAGCGAACAAATAGCCACAAGCCTTCATGCTGGAAATAAAAGAGGCCTTAAAATGCAGAGACAGTATTGGTTCAAAATTAAATAAAAATGAGTAAGTGGTTGTTTTTTAAAATGGCAAAACCCTTTCCTGGTAGGATGTTGAACTGCATGCGATTTGCTCTCACTGAAACTTGAATTTTAAAAAATCTTACAACTATAAGTGGATCTGATCTGATTAATCAAAGCTGAGTAAGTCTTTTTACTGAGTACATAGATGTAGACATTAATGAGAAGGAAAAACATTGTTATCTAACATGTGCCAAGTGAGCCTTTATATCCATTATTCTGTTTAAACTTCACCAGGCCCCTGTGAGATAATATCCATTTTACAGATAAGAGAGCTTAAATTAGTCTGGCTAATTACCCTGCCTAAGATCACCTGATTCAGAGGCTGGCGGAGCCAGCATTGCTCCACAGCCTGTCTCCTTAGGTGGTGTTGTTTGCCTCTGTGATAAGGCTCTCCTTCCCTAAAGGTTCTCAAGCAGAGGCTGACTATGAGCTGAGTCGTGTTCCAGAAAGATGTCCTGCATTGTTAGGGAGATTGGAGTAGGTGATATCTTGGGTCCCTTCCAACTCTAAGATTCTGTGATCCTAAATACCGTGGATACTAAGGCAACTCTACCCACGAGGGTGTGGGGTGTAAGTTCTAGTCCGTGAGTAGAGGGCCCATAGATAAGAATTATGAGCATGGTCTTTGGCATCAAACAGATGCTGAATTGAATCCTAAATCTGACGCTGAAAGCTTTCTATTTTTTTTTATTGTGAGCTCAAATTTGTCTGGGCTTTACCTATAGGAAACCTTGGCAGCCTGGTTGGAGGGTTTTCTTTTGGTTTTGTCAGGAAGCACCTCTTCATATTCCTGGAACTGTGTGGAAAGGCACTAACAATCTGGGACAAATTTATTTTACTTACTTGCCTGATTTTCTGGATCACACAAATAATTAATGTCAGTTACAACCCCAGCTTCCTCCTTCCTCCAAGGCAAATCCATGGCTTGGAATTTGCAAAGGCAATTCTTTTTTCTTCCCAGAGTCCCTGGGCCAAGATAGACTGTTTCCTTGTTATTCCCCGATTTCTTTTTTCCTGTTCCGTTGTTTTCTATAAACATCTTTTTATCATACTTATATATTATGTTTCTTTATTATTTTCTGCCTTGCCCGTACCAAAATTCTCCCAAGAGCAGGGATTTGTATTTTTGCCACTGTATGCTAAGTGCCTGGAATATAAGCCTAGCAGACAGTAAGCTTTCAGAAAATGTTATTGAATGAATAAACAAACAAATATCCTTTCGCCAGTGGGCCTGGTTTTTAGCCCACACTTTCACTAAGAATGCACCTTTGTGGGTCTCAGCTCTACGTAGGGGTCTCGGTTCCTAGGTCTTATCTCCTGTCCCAAAGTGACCCTGTGAAAACAAACCACTTGGTTACTGGTTTGCAGCTTTCTCTTCATTCTGGACCCAAGAGATTTATTTTCCTTTTTTTAAGCTCTGTTATCTATTTGAAAAAATGTTTGACCCAGTATTTCTATGAACTTTATAGAGGCAGAGATTTTTTTGTTTGTTTGTTTGTTTGTTTTGTTTTTTTTTTTGAGACAGAGTCTCACTCTGTTGCCCGGGCTAGAGTGCCGTGGCATCAGCCT